TTGACAGAATCAACATGGGGCGCCGCCTCCAGGATTACCCTGCTCCCGCGGCTTCCCTCCGTCACCCACGAGAATTATATCACAGTCTACTTTACACTTGTAAACGCCACCGCAGGCCGAGTCCTGATACACAAATGGCTCAGTCTCTAGGTCAGCGATACTGAGAATCAGATTTTGATTCCAGGTCCAAGACGAGCCTTAAAGAATGTTAGCTGTGTACCTAACGGTGAGGCCAGGATAGCAGGACGAGCATTTGTGGCTGGTCAATGACCTCAGTTTTTCTGAACTAAAATTAAAATGTTGGACCTTTAACCTTGGCCTTGCACGGACGAGCTGGGTGAATAACACAAACTTCTTGTAACCTTTCTTCAAAGTCACCACTATTGACTTATCTTGCACACGCACTCGACACATGGATCATGTATGTTGACTCTCCAGATTGCTCGCTGACTCGCTTGTCATACCTGTCACAACTGCTGCTTGATGCTGATAACCATAACACAAGATAACAAAACATGAACAAACAAGGCGCGCGTATTTACACGAGGAAAAGATAAATTATTTGGATATGACAACAGTTGAAGCATACATCATAAAACTGACCTGTCGAGAGTTAGTGTTGTTTATCCTGTGCCTCGAATTACACCCTAAACTACCGGTATACTGTGCTGTACTGTGCTGACGCTCCTCGACTTCAACAAATACCTTACACACGTATGAAATCAACTTTTCTTTCCCAAAATTGGATACACAACACCACCACTTTCTCAGATTACAATGTACACGACAAAGTGTAACGGAGTTTAACACTGTCCAAGTGGAGTGTTGTGATGAAGAAAAAAGTACTATGAGATAGATACACTGAGCGGGTCTTATACTGCAATATATCTCATGAGCCAGCACATACTGTACACACTAAACTGAGTGGGTCGGGAGTGTATATACTGTACTGATTTTTATACTTTCTTCATTATGCGTTGATTCCGAATGTTGTTTGTTTTCTTGTTGTGTTCATAAATATTAGGTGTTGTTACATGATCGATCTGAATATATCTTGTTGACTTGGTAAACCCAATTAGCATATAATTTGAATCCTCCTCTACATGTACCACTGCACTACTAGTCACAAAGACAGGTTCCTTGCACCTATATCAAACTAGGTCAATAAATAGCCTCATGACCCTGAAAAGTAAGTCAAGGACACACATCTTCCACCTCCTCCGAAAGGCTGACCTACAGATATGAACTGGAAGAAGCTAAATCAAATCCAGGTCTAACAAACGTATGGAAGGACCCACAGACACCAATACCGCTCTGCTGAAACCTTAGTTGAGGAGTACAAAGTAAAACAAAATATGTCAGCTATGTTCAACGTACAAAATTCAGTATCAAGATTTTTTATAATTAACTTCACTAAATCTTAAAAAAAAATATCATCCAACAACACAAGTTCAAACTGAGAGGCCATCAAAATGTCGTATATTGTTCATCCAAAGGGTAAAGAAGTGCACAGATAAGAAAACGACAAAAACAATTACCATTAATATGGTATAAATTAGTTCCCGTTAACAGTATGCGTCAGGTGACATGTTGAGTGATACGTAAGAGCGAGCACCCATGTCTTCAGCGGCTGGGTAAGAGACACACACACACGAAGGTAGAGATCTCAAAAGGCTTCCACAATCATAATCTGACAAGGAAAATCGAGAGGTCGCCCCGATCATTAGCTGGTGGTCACCAGGTGGGAGGTCTCCATGGCTTTGTGTGTGTGTGTGTGTGTGTTTGGTATATGAAGGAAGCCCGAAATATAAACAATATAATATTTAAGTGTTGAAGATCTGATTCAAATACATTACATTTTTCATATTGAACAGCAGAAGTTGGTTATTTTAATTTGGTCAATGAGTACTATCAATACTCATATTTTCCTACGACCAAGCTTTTATGAACTATAGTGTAATTTCACCTTTTTATATACATACCGTACACCGTACACGACACAGCTCTTGAAAATCCAGTGACCCAAATCTCTGGAGCCGTGCATATACCATTACGCTGCCTGGCTGAATAAGTACCAACGTCTTGCCCATTCCTGGCTCTCCTCGGGTCAAGCCACGACAAACACACCAGCCGCAATATCCCCCAGGATCTGAAAATCGCTATACACGCCACGAGATGCGCCAGGAAACACGCGAATTTGATAATCATTTCCATTACTAACCAAAACACTATTATGAAGTCACTAAATAAGTCGGCAACAATTTAAACAATAACAACGAAAATAAGCTCGTGGGTGTAATACCACATCACACAAGCATTAGATAATTAATCAACAGAAGGCGACATCTAATAATCTACACAAGGTAAGCAGCGCAGGTATAAGTATCTCCCGTACAAGTAATTAGCTTGGTGATCACAGAGGATAAGTTGCTGAAGCTGGAGAGTTTAGGGGTGTAAGGCAGGGTACAGACGGCTCTTCATCGTCGCCAGATAACTCGGCCAACGGACCACCATGTGTACACAATGTCACATCTAAGTCTTGTTTCTTTGGACTAGAGAAGGTTTATGGCACGTGTGAAGCTTAAGTGGAGACGGTAGGGGAGAAGTTGGTTGTGTGGGGGATCATCCAGCAGCGTGTGACGGGCGGCGACGGGCACCCTTAAGCGGCCCTCACTCTTGCCGGGCTGACATTATCCTCCGTGTCACGAGCAAACTTGATTTATGCTCAGCTTCCATGAGTGGTGGTGAACCAGTCAGCTGCTCCACCCACACGAAACAACCCACCCCCTAGCCTCTACCTTTTCATCATGTCACAGGAAATGGTAGTACACCGCCCCAGGGTAATCTATAACAATATGTACACCCCACCTGCACCATCACTCCCCGACCCCCAACCCCTGTACTGTACACACATATACACACGGACTTATCATCGCCTGATGCCTCTCAATATATACACCACACCGCTAACTTAACTTAATACCCCAGCATTCCATTCTTAATATTCCCTCTCAAGACTACCTGCCCACACACCGTAATGACCCAGGCGTTGACAGCCAGCAAATTCAACAAAAAACAACACACACACACACACACACACACACACACACACACACACACACACACACACACACACACACACACGTCTTCACCATATACAACAAACCACACTACAGTATAGCACTTTGGGCCTCATAAAGTCCACAACTGATGGTGGCATTTTACTAGAACTATACTGCTAACCTCTAACAGCGCCCTGAGAACAACACTAAGAGGCAAATCAGAGCTCCTCTTCTCGTCACATGAGTCATAAAGGCAAGCATGAACTTAGCATGCTTCCCAGATGGGCGCTGTAAACGCTTCTGCGCTTCACCTTGCACAGGATGTAAGGGGGTGCCCAAAAAACTAGCCCCCTCGGGGACAATCTAAATCTATCTTCTCGTCCCTGATATACTAAGAGGCGGAGGGAGCAGAGTGTTTCTAGACCCTATAAATCTGTGTTTGCGTACATGACGAGAGTACCACCAGAATGACCACCTTTATTATGTCACTCGCTTCTTGAACTCCGTATGAAGACGTTATCCAACTTTAAAGTTGTTATTGGTGCTGCCCTTATTTACTATTATCTTTAATACTAATACGTTAACGAGAGAGAAACTTAAAAGGAATCTCAATAAGGTTTAAAGGAAACTTAATAAGGCTTAAGAAAACTCAATAAGGCTCAAAGGAAACTCAATAAGGCTTAAAGGAAACTAAATAAGGCTTAAAGGAGATTCAATAACGCTTAAAGGAAACTCATAAGGCTTAAAGGAACCTCAATAAGGTTCAAAGGAAACTCAAGAGGCCGCCAAGTCTTCAGATAAACAGCGTTCTAAAAGCAAAGTCTCCAAACAAAAACGATTCCGAAAGAGCACTTGTTGGTGAGGGTGAACTTTCTGGTAAAGAGTGGAGTGGATGTTGGGGTCGGGGGGAGGGGAAGAGGGGAGACGAAAGGGTAGGAGTGGTAGGGAGAGAGGTAGGGGGTTGGGAGAGCAAGGGTTGGGGGTAGGGGATGGAGAGGTTGGGGTGGAATGGGATAGTGTGGAGGTTGGGAGGTGTTGTGGGGTAGGATAGGGTTGGGAAGTGTAGAGGATGTTGGGAGGGGGTAGGGGAAAGGGGATGGGATGGGGGTAGGTAGGAGAGGGGTGGTGGGTGGGGGAGAGGGACGAGTTAGTGGGTACACGGAATCCTACAAGACTGAAGGCATCGTATTAGCGACAAGAGCACAGGATTATGGAGCAGCGGGCACACTCTGGTGGTAACGAGCCACAGTTACATTTTTTTACAATATGCACCGCACCTTAAGTCATGTTCTGTCAATAACGTCCTCCGAAAAAAACAAATTATAAACTACCAACTATTTTTCACCCGTGACACAAAACTGTATAATTTTTGCCTTCCCAGGAGCGGAAATTATCAGAGAACAACACGGAATAGTCATTATCCATTAAAATATCAGAATATAAACACAGTAGATAAAATACTGAAGAACTGGAGCGACTCTTTGGGTGTCCGTCAACCAGTCAATCAGCTGCCTTGTTACACACTGACCCTAGGCCTCAGTTGCAAAGATTGAGTGAACCGACTATCAGTACTGTTTGTGTGCATCACGGTTTACTTTTTTCTATTTTGTCAACTTTGGAAAATTAAATACACATCATCTTTTGACTAAAATTACTGAAAAGTTAGGAATAATAATGGAGAAAAAAATTATGTAGTGAAGAAACCTGACCGGGAGAAAGGAATGAAAAGTAAAACTAGATGAAACAGCAAGGGAGAAGGAATAGGAGAGAAGGAGGAGGAAGGAGGGAAGAGGGAAGAGGAAAGGAGGAGGAAGGAGGGAAGAGGAAAGGAGGAGGAGGGAGGGAAGAGGAGGAGAGACTGTTAATGGCCTGGGCAACCAGAGAGAGAGAGAGAGAGAGAGAGAGAGAGAGAGAGAGAGAGAGAAACCAAACACTTACCAGCCGCGTTGTGAGGGAGAGGCCGCCGCGAGGGACTAGTGAAGGGGAAGTACGGGGAGTCTGGGGCGAAGGTCGCTCCGTCTGGGCCTCCAGCGGCGCCACCTACCGCCCCGCCCACGTATCCACCACTCACGCCCTGCAATAAACAAAGAAAAAGTAACACTGATCACACAACTGCTCGTTACGTTAGCCATCCCTGTAAATAAACCTTGACACAATAATAATTAAGACGTGATGAGTTATTTGTCAAGTCCTATAGAAAGAAACACTAATGTAATCGTAAACTGGAATAATAATACTCTATGACCGACAAATATAAGCATAAACTGGGGTATTATAAAAAAATAAATAATTATAAACTGAAAAATTATTATGACAGACAAATATAATTATAAAGTGAAATAATAACAAACTCAATTAATATCAATCAACAACGTTATGTATACGACGTGTTATTTCACTTCACCAATTTTCAACACTAAATCTCACCTCTTAGAATCTTAGACACTTTCCAATACTATTTTTTAATATACAATCTTAAAATAATTTCTTCCATTCACTCTTAATCCACAACAAATTTATCTCAAGTTGGAGGCAAAAACAGGGATCAAAATGACAGGGTATAGTAATGGCCTTGGGGATATGCTGAATCAGAGAGAAAATCGTCACCTTCCTCTGCCCCAGCCAGCACTTGTGCACAACCAAGGTCCTTCAACATTACCACCAGGAAAATGTGACGCCTATGGTAAATTGTATAGCCACGACGACATCCTGCCCCCAGCACTCACGCATAAAACACTCAGACACCGGACACTCGCATACCGGGCACTCACACACACAGACAGTCAGACACACACACACATATATACATTTATAGTATACTCACACATACACAGGTCACTCACACGTACACAAGACACACACATATACAGGACACACACACACAAGACAATCGCATACACGTAACCCACACACACACACACACACACACACCGGACACTCACATTATAAGCTCCTGTTACACCTACAGTACACGTGAAATATTCTCTCAGTAATGCATATTTTCACAATTCGTTGCCAACATTTATAATTACATGATGTTAATGTTGATAGTCACATCTGTGTTTGGTAATGTCGACGCGGCTTGTTATTGGCTGCCAGAGTCACAACGTTGTAACTCCAATGTTTGTTTTCGTTTACCACGTTATGTAATAATAAATAAAACAAACTTAAAAATAATGGTTAACGTGAAGTAGGAGCAAGAAACGTCAAGCAAATCCTCTTACAACACACAAATTATAATTTACTTAACCCCGAAAATTAGATACCAAATGAGCACATAACAATACCACCATCACTTAATGCCAGACATGCGATCACTGTTTCTCCTCCTCCTCCACCACCGCTGGTAAACAAACAAGCAGACACACACACACACACACACACAGGAAAAAGAAATCATTCATTTAGAGGAAACTACTTATGCACTTGAAATCCATCAGGTAATAATGTCTGGCAAAATGGTCGTATCCCACAGGCCCGTGAATGACATTGTTTTTACAGACCAACATCACTTGACCCAACTTGAAATACACAAACCGAGTGGTCACACATACCGCCGTCTGCATCAACAAGCTGGAGGAGGAGTCGAAAATAACCTCTATCAACCTGTCTAATACGAAAAACAAATATATGTCAAGACAATTTTACAAGACTATTTTAACAGGAATCTCATACAAAACTTTCTGAAAATCTTCCCCAGAGATTTAAAAACAACAAGGGAGGAAACTGGACCAGAGGGATGGCCAATGAGAGGTGGTACAGATGGAAGGATTTTAATGATATAACCGACATCCCTCATAACCTTAATTAGGCCAGTTTTTGCTGAACCGCCATTTAATGTGTCAAAACTATTCACTGGTGATTGGTCCATGGCTGCCAATGTTTTTGTAGGGAGCAGCTTCCCCCGAACAATCTCGAGTTGCCCCGCCCAATGGTCAGGTGTGTCGACTTTCGCCGGAATCAGTTCAGTGGTTTTGAAGAAGTCGTTGGTGTGGAAACCCAGCACATACCAATGACTCCAGTTTTATTTCAATCCCATCTATTTACTGTACTTTTATTTTCGTATTTAGTTTTAAGTCCGACATATTTCCTTACAGAAACCAGAGTTAAGCCAGTCCAGTCATCTTGTCCGATTAGTGGTTGTGAGCATGTTTAAAACTGGTTTGAATGCCTGACTGTTATGGAAATTAAACCAGCAAAATTCACCCATATATATATATGTATATGGAAAGTAACACTATCACCAATAAGAACAAATGCTCAGTAATCGAGCCTTAAATCATAGAGAGAGGAACGACTGGAGGAGGAGGACAACTGAGCTCTCGGAAGGTTTAATTAAACCCTCGGCCAGGTGAGATAACATCAACAACAATTAACAGAACTTCAATTCATACAGCCGTTAGAGAAATACACTTATACAAAACTAATTGAGAGCAAGCGGAGTATTGAAGTCCATCATACGCCCTCTGCTATACACTAAATTTCATAAACTCAAATGTCACCTTGACCTCTAACAAACAAAGACTTACATATCCTGCATAACACTTCACTAGTTAGGACATATTTACGTGGGTTTCTCAGGATATCTGCGGCAGTATAAGAACAACACTTACAAGGCAAAGTTTACCGATACCCGTATGAATGTATTACCACGAGTCCCTTCAGTAGGGTCTCAACTAGCGCACAAAAACACAATTAACAAGTGCCACAGAAGTATTGTTTCTGGTGACAAAGATAAAAAGAGTAAGACGAAGATAAAAAGAAAATCAAAAGGAAACACGGAGGAGCAGGAAGAGGAAAAGAAAAATAGAAAGCTCTTTGTTTTGTGTGGCGCAATATAATGTCAAGTTTAAGGTTTTTCCCCTACTAACTGTAAGTGGCCCACCAGTTCTGCGGCAATATCCACCGTCTCCGGATGGCTGCCGACACTGGCCACTTATTTTGAAAGTCGCACACAGAATGTCTACCTCTTTGATCTCATTACACCACCAACAAAAAATAATGAGTACTTAAAATCAGTGAAGCGATCACTTTACGCTTTCACTCGCGGAAGACTTGTTAACTCCCAATACAGTAATATATACAGTATGTAGAGCCCCAGCAGCCTCTTGTTGTTCCAGCGAGCCAGACTGTCTTTTACACTAATCACTTCCATTCATTAACTCACGACTATCCATCTTACTCCACTCTTACTTACACGGAGTCCAAGTATAATCATTAAGTAAAACAAAGATGAAATGAGGAGATGGGTAATAATAATAATAGGGAGTTACTTAAACTTTTACAGACACATTAAAACCCTCAACATCATCAACTGCTGCTCAACAAAACACTCAATCACTATAAGTTGACGTAATACTTGTCTTCCGTCACACTGCCTCAACATTTATGATCTCGTTAAACGTCAACTCCAATATCTGACGTCATGAACCAATACCTAAAAAAAATAAAAAATAAAAAATAAAATAAAAAATTAAGTCAATGAAATGCAGCGTCACATTTTACTAATCACACCGAGCGATCGTTTAGTTAAAATTCATTCACGTATGACCACCAACTCGGCATCACATTGAAGCCGCGTTAAATGCTTCGCAAAAAAATTCCTCCCCTCAAAACCAGCCCCAGCCACCACAACTTTCCCCCTAAATTAAGCTGGAGGCTTCGCTTATCTTCAGTAATTAATCTTCTTTTTTGGTGGTCTCAACTCCGACACAACGATTAACTTACACAAGGACCGGGGACAACCACGCTGCTGCCCCTCGCCATCCATCCTAACCCCCCCCCCCTCTCACCCCCCACGGTCGGGATTTTCTAAGGCTCGTAAGTTAAAAAAAATTCTTCGTAAATGAGTGACGTAAGAACTTATCTAAGTGGCTTATTTTTAACCGACGACACGGTGTTGGATTCTCGGGAATTTTACAGGTTAGGATTTTCCTCTTAATTTATGAACGCATCTAGTTGATTCCTACACGGTGTTGGATTCTCAAAAATTCGGATATTAAATTTTCCTCTGAACGAACATTTCATAAACCGAAGCGCTTTAAGTTCAAATTTCCTCTTAATAACTGACTCACTTAACCTATGACATACAGATGGATTCTCGGTAATGTATTTCCAGCGTTCAATTTTCCTCCTCAGTAAAGATGTAACAACGCATGTAACTCACTAACTACCACACTTAAATTATGAAAGGTTCACCACTTTAAATTTTCACTTCAACGATAACGTCTCTTAAGTGGTTGGTTTACTTAAGCTGAAGCATAAAACTAAAACGCAAAAAAAAAAAAAAAATGGCTGCAAATTTACCCCTCGACTCGACGATCATCATTTACGGGACAAAATAAACACACATCCCAGGCCAGGGGTAGACTCATCCACCCTTCACTGCAGGACATTAACCTCGACTGGGGTTCTGGGGGAGGTTATATGACTTAATGCGGAAACTGGGGACCTTAACATGAAATACTGGGGGAGAGGATGACCCCACCACTATTTACTGGGGGAGAGGATGACCCCACCACTACTTACTGGGGGAGAGGATGACCCCACCACTACTTACTGGGGGAGAGGATGACCCCACCACTACTTACTGAGGAGAGGATGACCCCACCACTACTTACTGAGGGAGGGTGAATATCAACTACTTTTTCCAGGGACACACACACACACACACACACACACACACACTCAGACATTAATGACTGCCAAATGACCTGGGGGTTGTAAGTGCCTCAGTCGGCTAGTAAAATGCCATCACAGCCCAAGGAGTTTCTCGCCACTTTTTCCACTAATTACATCCCCCAAAATAAATCAATATCGTATTTGTCTTGAACGAAGTCACCCCAATGATGACTTTTAGTAAAACATTATTCTGTAAAAAAAAAAAAAATTATATATATATATATATATATATATATATATATATATATATATATATATATATATATATATATATATATATATATATATATATATATATATATATATATATATATATATATATATATATATATATATATATATATAATTTTATTTAAAGGCCTCCAGCTGCTCTGTATATAGAAATACATCACC